AAATATAAAATGACAAAAATTTGACACATTTCTGGGCCATAACACAATTAGAAATAACAGAAACAGAATTTAAACAGTCACCTCCTTAAAGATGTAAAAATATTGCTTTAGATATATTAATGTCTGTGTTAAAGTGCAAATCCAAAGCACAGTGCCCATAAATATATGTATGCTTCCAAATATAGACTGAGATGTGCAGTGTCTCTGAAAGGTAGGAGTTCTCAGACTCAGAATCACCTAGAGTCTCCAGGTTATGTCAATTGAAACTCTGGCCTGACCTGGAATTGTTAACATCATTTTAGTACAATTAGGAGCAGCAGTGGGTGGAAATGAATCTATAGCAGACATTGCAGGAAGACTTCTTCCTGCTGAGACTGAACTTGACCTCATAGTCCTTTTCAGCACTGGATCCCAGGCAGCTGCTACAAATCAATTGGTGTTGGTTTACAAGACCCAAACTGCCCTCAGGCAACAGAGTGGGACCCGGTGCTGACAGCTGCACTAGGAACACTGCGTGACCCCTGCGATGGCCTGGATGTTTTGCCCCCTCCCCATTCACATGTTGAGCTGAATCATCAATGTGAAGTGGTAGAAGGAGGGCCTTTCCTAAGTGATGAATAGGATTAGAGGCCTCAGAGAGCTGCCTTATCCCTTCCACCTGGGAGGACACAGCAGGAAGGCACTGTTTGTGAACAAGAGGCTCTCACCAGACTCTCCATCTACCAGCACTTGATCTTGGACTTCCCAACCTCCAGAACTGTGAACAATAAGTTTCTATTGTTTATAAGCGACTCAGCCCATGTTATAGCAGCTTAAATGAACGAAGCCCCCAAGAAGAATGTATGATCCGCCCCATGCAAAAATATGGGATCCCCAAAGTCTTTCTGGTGAAGGCTCAGAGATGGACAGCTTCATTTCCTTTTTCCTGGACTGCTTTCCCTCTGGAGATGCACAAACATTTGACAGACATAGACCATATCAATATGTGGAAGTGTACACATGAAGTCATATTTTAAAAGTGGAACACAAAATAGTTTGTTCAGTCTTATTAAAATCCTGTCATGAGTGATAAATTTGTAAGAGAACGTAGAAATGGCTGGAAAAATTTTAAACTTTTAGTTTGTTTGCATTTAAAAACATACATTTAGAAATCCATTGGTACA